TACTTACTTAGGCAGCAGCAGCAGCTACTACAACAAATTATCGAGCATACCGACCCGACCGCATTTGCATAACTGGCTGCCAAGCTGTTACCACTAATAAACCCGTTGCTCTGGTAACAAGCCATCGAGATTTTTATTTATAAATCATTTACGATTTGTTTGGCCTCTTTGTGAGTCGTAAGATTCGTAGTTTGTTTGACTATGACTCTTTTTTAGTTTCGGTTCGAATTGCCGAATAGCTAAATAATTTCATTGTTTTCACTAATTTGATTGGCGTCAAAAATTCATTAGAAATTCGCAGTGCGCCTGATTAATGAAAGAGCCTTTTTGTTTTTTCTCATGCCCAAATGTAAGCACTTATGTGAAGGGTATGCTGGGGTATGCAAGTGGTTAAGTCAGTTGGAAATGAGCGGAATTAGAACTCTTATAGAGATTGCAGAAACTGTTAACTATGCTTTAGAAATCTTAAGGTCGTAAATTAAAGACAAAATATCATGTGGAATTTTAAATTAAATTATTCAAATTAATTAACAAAAACATTTTACTTTAAATATTGTTTTTATCTTTTTATTGTTTTTTATTTATTTTTTTTAAAAACCATTACAAATTAATTAAGGTTTTTTTTCTCGAATTTTTTGTTAATGCTTGCATCCCCAACTTATCACCTTCCACAGGGTATCTTTCCGTATACGCTTTTAGCTCCAGCGTTTTTCTTTTTACCGATATTTATTTGGTTTTTATACCAGATAAACGCAATTTTTTTAGTGGCACTTAATTAAATGCAAAGATAAAGCAAATAAATAAACAAGTTTTAAGTTGTTTCGAAAAAAAAACCGCTTACAAATGTGTTGCGTTTTACCTGAATAAATGAATAAATTATTTATATAGGAATTTGATTTGCTTCATATACATATATATGCATATATACAATATACATATGTCTATATATTTATGCATCAATTTAAATGATCAATGCGTCATGCAAAAGAGAATCACGAAATCCAGCCAAAAAAGAAGAAAAACAAAAATTAAATCTGCTCTGCATAGAAGCTGCACGAATAAGATTTATGGCTTTGAGATACATAAATTTGGAAACTGAACTGAATACTAGTATTATATATAGATTTATGATTTAGTAGTTTGATCTTGAGCAGATATTAAAGATGCGAAAGCTTGAAAGATGAATATTTTATGCAAGCTAAATTGTTTGAACTGATATAATTCGAGAGAATTTTAAACGAATTTTCTATATACTCAAATAGAGTCCGAAGAGAATGTCTGTTCGTAACTTGAGGACTAGACAAAAGCCTTGATTGATGAGATCATTGCTAAAAATTTGAGACTGCTCCAGTTAGAAATGCTCAAATTTCTTATTGTACTATGAAGAGCTGAGAGACAGCTTTCTTATACAAAATCATTTATATTCTCATATTTTTTCAAATATTTGAATTAAATATTTTTTGTTTTTGCGTTGCGTCTTGGCAGAGCTTATCATTAAGGCGCATTTATTTGAAGCCAGCCACGCCCATCAAGGTACAGCTTGCGGCGCTTTTGTCAGCCACACCCCCTTGCTCTGCCAGACGCAATTTAAAATCGATTAAAAATCGACGCCTTGGACCACCTGCTGTGACTGTTCGACTGTTTTTTTTTTATATAGCTAAAATTTTTGGCCGCGTCCCGTGTTCCACTTATTAGTATTATTTTTTTCGACTGAATTATGACCCAAGGCGTTGGCCGCACATTGTTTATTAGAATTTTAAATGTAGGCAACGTTTTTACAAGTTTCAGTAGCGCAACTAAAAAAAAAAAAAAATAAAATAAATAAATAAAAAATAAAATAAAAAACCCAAGCTATTCGAAACAACTAACAAAAGCTTGAACTGTATTAAATTAACGCGTGCCAGACAGCTATTCTGTGTGTGTGTGTGTCTACTTGTGTGTTTGTCATAAATATCTAAAAATATGCCTCAATATTTTCGATTGTGTGCTCAAACTTAAACTGTAGTAGAAAAAGAAGATATTAATAATAATAATAATAATAATAATAATAGTCCAAAACAGTTTTCCTAATGAAGCTTTAATTGTCACTTTTGCTGATGATATGACAATATTTCCAATATTTTCTTTCAAGTCTTGGCCAAGTTTTTATTGATTTTTGTTGCGTTGCGTTGGCCAATGGCATGCAATTAAAATTCATGGCATTTTATTTACCAAAGCACTTCAGTCACCCACACGTTATATTAGAGAGTGAGGCGCACACGCACACGCACACACATTTATATGTGTAAATGTATGCGTACAAATATTCATTTTTAATATGCTTTGACCACTCGATTGCCACATATAGCCAATTTATGGGCCCTTAATCCCAGATCCCCAAAAATATTAAATACATTTCACAGTAATAAAAACAAATATTTCTTACTCTCCCTCTCCATATATCTGTCTCTCCCTGCTTCTTTTCATTTGTTGTTGTTGTTGTTATTGCTTTGTCCTCGTGGCGCTTATAGCGTTATGAAATTTTCGTGCTATTGCGTTTATATAAATGTTTACCATGTTTAATTAAAAACGAATCGAAGCAGCCGCATCAGCAGCGTGCCATGGAAAAGCAATTATTTAATAGTTAGGAAACATTTGGTATCAAATAGACAAAGGAAAATATTAAAAGTACGGGAAATAAATTTTGAATTTGAGATATATGAGGAAACTAAAAAAAAAAAAAAATGTCAATCAAAAAGATGAATGCTTAGCTCAATCTAAGTTTGGGAAAATTTAATGAAAGTTATTTCAATAAGACTTTGCAATTTATAGATAAATTCGATTTATTATTATTTGAATAAAATAATTCAATTCTTGTTAAATTTGTATTAAGCATTCAAATAACATATTTCATATATTTTAATAAAATAATGCAATTCTCACAAAATTTTAATAAAATAAAATAAATAATTCAATTCTTACAAAATATATATTTAACAATAATATACAATATTCGTCATTTCGACCGAACTAGAAACTTGATAGATAGTTAAAATTTAGAGCTATTAAATTTGCCCCACTGAACACTGAAATTTCATGTATGCAATTCTTTTGAAGCATATCAAAGTCGTATATCACTGAAATTATAATATTCTCAGAATTTTGAAATATTCCAGTAGTTACCTCATATTCTAATTTGACTTTTCGATTCCTAAACTCAAATGCTGATTATTTTTAGAATTAATTTCCGTGGAAGCATTCCTATTTCCCAATATAGCTGGAGTTTTCTCTACATATTTACATGTAGTTCAGCTCTCTCTCTCTCTCTCTCCCTCTATGCTATAGTTTCGGTGCATCCCATTAAACAAGTCTTGCAATCAATTCGACAATTTGTCACTGTTTCATTTCCTAACAAAGTCAATAATTAACATGGCTTGTTAGAGGATCGTTAGATTAATGACAAGCATGTGCAGTCAGCTGTCTCTATCACATATGACACCCTACCCTCACCCTCTCTCACACTCACTCTATCTCTCTCTCATTCTATCTATCTCTTTTTGTTGCTCTTGCTGCGTAAAGTGCATTTGCTGAACCTGAAATCCGCCCGATAATTACGCGTAAAAAGCAAATAAAACTATTGTCAACACATTGCGACTCAGCATACTGAAAATTTGAAACCTGAAACGGGCTAATATCGACAGAGAGTGAGAGAGAAAGGGAGAGAAAACATATAGAAAACACTTTTGACGTCTGCGGCGGCGCCTGCGCAGCTGTCGTAAATTCCCTATTCGCCCTTGCCAGATCCCGTCTGCCCACTGTTCGGGCTTAAATGACAGGGTGCGTGCCGCGTCCCAGTCTGATCCGCAGTTGGGTAATTAAAATTATGTTCACACACACACATACACACACGCAGTGAGCAAAATTTGTTCAAGGGCTGCCATGTGTGGCACACATTTGCACGAGCCTAGGGTGGAAATTATCATGGAAATAAAAGGAAGGAAAAAAAAACCTAAGCCAGAGCTCGCAATACAAAGGTCCACTGAGTCGGAACTTATGTAGAGCATGTCAGAGTGCAGCATCAAAGGACGGCCGACACCTCCAAAAGCAAAAAAAAAAAAAAAATATATATATGTATATATACAAAATAAAAACATTTCAAATTTAGCGCAAAAAACCTTGACTCTGCGACAAAAAGGGCAGAAAAGAGTGTATATGGACTCATTCATTCCCTCTCACATCTTTCTCTCTCTCTCTCTCTCTATCTTTATGCACGTGTACCGAAAATATCTTGAATATTTAATATTTTGCTGCTAATGTCATTAAAAAGTTTTTGCTTTGTGCTGAATTTTGTGCTTCGTGCTGCACTGACAACCAATTAAAATGTGAAAAGTTCACAATTTGTATACCCTGTAATTAGGAGCAAAAGCAAATGGGGTATGCTATGAGTTAACGAGGCCAAATGAAAATCAAAAATGAATTTAATACCACAAAACAAATAAAATTTAAATAAAATTTAATAATTTGTACCTAATATATATAGGGTAGATGTTAGTCGAGCATGCTCGAAATGCATGTACTTTTGTACATTCTAAAATCTGCTCAAAGCAAACTCACCCAGATTTTCTCTTTGCTCTTAATTGGCTAGTTAATTTCATAACTGTTTTCAGTTTGGTTACAACTTAAGCCAAGAACTAGAAACAGCTTAAGAACTTGAGCTGAAAAGTAAAAAAGAAAAGAAAACAAAAAATGATTTATTTTCAATGCTAAGTCTTAAGGCTTAAAATGAAAAGTTAGGGAAAATATACAAAAGAAATGATAATATGATTTTACTCTAATTATTTAAATACTTAAAAATACTTTAAATACTTCAATAATTCTTTAAATAATTCTCTCTTTTTACGCCTTTAGGCATTACTTAACATCTCCGTTATCATTTTCTTTCAATAAAATTTTCCTCATCGAATACAAATCCTTTTCCGAGCCTTAAAATAATATTCCTTCTCACATTTTTATCTTTGCAGCTGCAGCAGCAACAATGAAACAACAACAACAACAATGATGATGTACTGAGCAAGCCAGCAATAAACAATAAGGGTATTCCTATATACGTATATATATTATATATATATATAAAAACAAATGCAAACTCAATGAATAATTCGGGCGTAACGTGTAAAACCAACAATTAAAACGACAAAAGCCGAACAGGGTCCACGTGGTGTTCAATTTAATAATTAACTGAGCAGCACAGAGGCGGCGAGGCAACAATAGCAACAGCAATTGTTGCAAGTGCAACAGCAGTCGCAGTAGCAACAGGAGCAACTGCAGCAAGCAGTCAACGCGTGCCCCCAGTCAAAATGGCGGCACGACGTTGCCCGTTGGCGCCCCCTGGGCGAGGTGGCCAACCGCAAAGGCAACGTAATACGAGTATCCGGCGTACAACAGCAACAGCAACAGCAACAGCAACAACATTGCTGCTGTCATTGGCCATGCTGCCATTGCTGGCAACAGCGGCAACAGCAGCAACCGGCAGCAGCAGGAGCCACGAGCAGCAGGCTGGCAGCTACGCCGGCTTGAGCGCAGAGAATGCAGCCAGAATGTTGGCGGGCACTCCCGGGGAGACGGAGAGCAATGTTCGGCTTGGGGTCGTCGATGAAGTCGGGCACAGCGAGCTGTCGCTGGTGCTGCCCCACGACACCTATCCGGGCTTTAGCATCAAGAAATTTAAGACGCGTCCACTGCAACTGGCCAACAACGGCAGCGCTCATCATGGTGGGGCTGGTGCGACGGCTGCAGCCTATCATATGCTGGACAGCGATTACTCCAAGTACTTCACAGTGCTGGACGATGGCGTGGTGATGACCACGGCGGACATATCGCCGCTTGTGAACCGGCCCGTGCAGCTGGTGGTCGTCGAGCAGACACCGAATGCCACCAATACGCACAATCTGCAGCTATTCGTGATGCATCGCAAGGACATGCTGCGCTTCTCGGGCTCCCTGCTGGACGCCAGTGGTGAGGTGCGCGAAAATCATCCGGCGGGCACACGTGTGCGCGGAGTGCCCCTAATGCAGGCCTTCAGCGGCTCCATTGTGGACGAGGAGCTGGCCAAGCCGAAGAAGGTGCGCTACACCATCATCGATGGCAATGAGGACGATGCCTTTGCGCTGCAGGAGCGTCGGGCCAATCAAAATGTTCAGGTCAATGCCAAATCGCTGACAATCGAGGGCGACGATGAGTCGGGCGTGTGGCTGGTCACGAATCGTCCATTGGATCGCGAGCAGCGCGCCCACTATGATCTCTCCGTGGAGGCCTCCGATGTGGAGGGACTGGATAAGACGGTGTCCAAGATACAGATAACTGTGCTGGACGAGAACGATAATCGGCCGGTGTTCAAGTCGCAGGATTACAAATTCGCCATTGCGGGCAAGAAGTCACAGAATATGGAGAGCAACAACAGCGTTACCTGGGATCGATTCGCCATCCTGGGCAAGGTGGAGGCCGTCGATGCCGATGGCGACAAGATTGCCTATCGCCTGAAATCGCCCAGCAATGTGGTCATCATTGTGCCGCAGACGGGTGAACTGATGCTCGCCGGCGAGCCAACGTCCAATGAGCTGCTGCTCGAGGTGATTGCCCATGATTTGCGCTATCCCAGCCTGCTGAGCGCGCAGCCAGCGAAGGTGCTGGTCGAGTTCTTGGCGCCTGAGCCCGTGTCGTTTATAATGCAACACCTGGAGCACGATGCCATCAATGAGCATTCGCATCATCGTGAGAAGCGACGCGTGACACGCGCTGTACGGCCCACCAAGCGCATTGAGTTCACTGAAGCCGATGGCGATACGGAGGGCAAGTCTGTGTTTCAGCTCGAGAAGGAAACGGACAAGGAAACGTTCAAAATACGCGACGATAATCCCTGGGTGACGGTCGAAACAAATGGAGCGGTGCGCGTCAAAAAGAAGTGGGACTACGAGGAGCTCGGACCGGATAAGACTATCGATTTTTGGGTCATCATCACGAACATGGGACACAATGGTGAGTGTGAAATTGATTTCAATATAAATAGTTATGAAAGACTACTCGAAGTAGTGTTGTAAAGTGAACTTTTATTGATTTAATAGTCGTTAGAATCTTACTGATTACTGATTGATGAAGCTTTATAAAATGAACTGCTCTTATACATCAACTATAAACATTAATAATACAATCGTTTATCGATTAGCATATATCGATTTTTTTTTATAAATTTATATTACTCATTTCTATCTCTTATAGAGACATTCACATTGCTCAGCAATTTAAATATCTCAGCTGTCAGCAATTTTCATGGCAATGTTATCGATAATTAATCGATTTTCCAGCAGCGCATTTAGTCGCAATATGTAATTATGTACATTCAAATGGGTTTCCTTGGTGATTTTGTAATTCTGTTGTCATACTCAGACTTGCATCGCATAATTAAGCATTGACATATTTAAATGTCTCCAGGCATGACGAAAATTGAAGCAACAAGCGAGAGAGATATTAATAGACCGAACAGACATGGCTAAACTTAGCCCAGACAATCGATGAAGCTAGCTCATTAATGGCTAATGATATAGGGGCACTCTGGCTCTCTGTCGACAATTTCAAATGAATTCGGGCTGTGAAAACAATTAAGTGACATTCTCCGAAGCCAAAAGTAATTAAGAAACGAAAATGGAAAATATCCACGTAAGAGGAATTTTTCAATCGGCAATTATGATAGAGCAGCCTGCCTCTGACCACATCAATTAAATGAAAAGGAAATGAGAGTGAGAGAGAGGCGGAGAAAGAGTAGTGAATACAGCAAAGCTTTTGTTCACGAAATCTTACAATTAAGACACAGAGCAGTAATTTGATTGGCAAGGAGCTGTGCTCTGTGCGGAATGGATACTCAAATATTTGCTTGTCATGACAAGTAATTACACTTCACTGTAAGACTACAAAGCAAAGCGATGAGAGCAGCTGGGTCAACATATTTGGTTATGGCCATTGCTATAGCTGCTGTTGGCCAGTTATTTCGAGCGTAGCTCAACGAGCAAATATTGAAGCGTTCTCAGCATGGAAATACACAAAAGGATACAAACGATGAGCAGAGCCAATCAAGTGTCCCGAGTGCTAACTGAATGCCTACCTGGCTGACTGCCTGCCCGGCTGTCTCTGTTTCGGTTCCTCTCTCTCTCTCTCTCCTTGTCTATATATCTCGTTTTGTTTCGTTTGTTGTATGTCCATTGCAATTCGCCATGTCTCCACTTTGACATGAGTCGAAAAAAGTTCAACTAACTGGCAGACAAGCTCATGAATTGTTGAAAAATATGCATTCGCTCTGCAGCTCAACACAATGAGCCATGTTACAGTTTAAAACAATGTTGACTGGAGTTTGTTTAACGATGAACCCTCTATAAAAAAATATATGAATGAGTTGTACTCAGTTGTGAAACAATATGTAGCTGATGAAGTTGTAGATAAATAACAGAAAAACACGTGTGTCCATTATATCAGAGGTTGGGAAAGGAAAATATATATTGCATATATGTCAACTTTTCATATAGTCTGAGTAAAGTTAAAGCTGATCTGAAGAAGTTTACTCTTTTGGTAGACAGCGCAGGTCTTGACTTTAATTATGTACTAAAGCAAATATTGAATATATTTTAAATAATTTTATTTATATTTTTAAAATATTATTTATATATTTTTAATATGTTTTGTATATACTTTAACACATTTTATATATTTATAATAGTAAAATTTTCAAATTTACAACATATCACTTTTCTTGCTAGAGGATATCTCTTAGTTGATCAGTTTTCAACAACATCAATTTAATATGTTTTTCTTTCTCGATTTGTTGCACTTTTTCCGCATTGCAATTGCTAATTGTGAACGGCAGCCCAGGCTGAATGTCTGCACTGGTATTGCGCCTGGTGTTTGGGGTTAGGCTGGGCCCTCACCATATTTCCCTCTCTCTCACTCTGCTTTTCTCTGTTTCTCTCTGTTCATCTGTCAGTTAATTAACAAGCTTTCATAAATTCATTCATGTTGCAACTGCGTCGCACTTTATCTGTTTTATTTGCGCGGATTTCCATTAAATTTTTTATTGATTTTCTTGCATGTGAAAGGAGAATGAACTTACTCGGAAAATAAAAGGTACAGATGAAATATGAATTACAAGCAGTTTTAATTGAAATATAATGCAGTCGTTCCTTACCAGCAGTATTAAGTGTTATGAAGAGATTGCAAATACTGCAAGTTTCATTAGGTCCTTCATTTCATTGTTGTTTGAGTGAATTTTATCATTAGTTGATACTAATAAACTTTGCTAGATAATGGAAATTGTTTTGCAACTACAAAGCTCTAAATACTTCATAATATTTTCCAATAAAAGTTTACCAACACTTATAAGTAAAAAGTCTACAAAAATGGTAAAGAGATAATGAATGAAAATATTCAAGCATTTTTCTCATTTCATTGGTATGACTTTGCTCAATATAAAATGCTTTTACAACACCGAATTTCGAGCAAATTCTTTAGTAAGTCAGCACACAGTACGCTTTTAGTGCTATGCGAGTGCAAATTATTTAAGGAATTGCAAAGTTTTGTGGGTTGTCTTAAAACTATACATACTTCATGGCATTCTAATCGAAACGTTTACCCACACTGGTCGTTCGTTAAGTGGCTCAATTTTCGAAAATAGTCAGCAAGCCACTTGAGAACATGTTCGAAATTCATTATCCTTATCCCAAGCACTTGCATGCTGAACCCAATCAATGGTGCGCAGCTACAGAGCAAGTAGGATATCTCATTTCTAAGAGCAGAGCAGTGGAGATGGAGTGAGATGCTGTTAGGGGAGGGGGTGCTTGCCATAGAATTTCGTATGCGATGCACATAGAAGTGATTGTTACGGTTGCTGCCGCTTGCAACTCGAGCTAGTGTATGTCACGCACAGACCAACAACAAAAACACACACACGAGTTTATATGTGTATGTTTTATATGTGTATGTGTGTGTGTGCGAGAGGCCACTTGTGTGCGCCAGGACATAAATGCCAGATAAACATAATTCATTTAACAGGACAGCGACAGACAGGAAAACTATGAAACAAAAAAGGAGAAAAAAAAACACTTGATAATGCGTTGCACTTGGCTTGGAGTTTAGTTGTTTTTCCTGGGAAGTTAGAGCAGAAAAAAGAAATGTACGACAATATTGTTCATTCATTTAAAATGCTACGCCAATACACAGCAAAGAGATTGAGAGAGGGTAAAGAGAAATAGAGAGAGAGTGAGAGAGAGAGAGAGGCAATGGCAACAAAATGGAATGAAACGAAGTGAAACGAAATGAAATGTTGAGCAGCTGCTGAGCAGGCGCAGTAGCAAATGAGTTTTGCAAGAGTTGCAAGAGAGAGAAACAAAGCGAGAGATAGCGAAAGAGAGAGAGAGAGTGCAAGCAAGACAGAGAAGGAGTGTACAAGTGAGTGAGGTGCACAGGGGTTGAGTGGAACAGACGTAGGACGCGTGCGAAATCCAACAGGAAAACGCTCGTAACAATTAGAACTGCTACACCAGCCAAACCTCCCGACCACACTCACACACACAAACAGATGAAATGGATTTTTGGGTAATACAAATGATTGATTTGACGCTAAAATCATAGCCCAAGTGTGGGGCATTTGCGAGCTTTCGGGTAGGCATTCCCCACTGGCCGGGGGCTGACTGATTGAGTTGCCCACTTGAGTGGCGCGTGTTTGTTTTCGAAATTTTCTGGCGCATTGTTTTGCCCAAAAATGTATGCACTGCACATACACACACACGCACACACACACACACGTAATGCCTGCTCCAAGCAAGGGTGGTTTCTTTTTGTATGCTTTGGCATTCCGTCACTAATGCAAAAACATAGCGCACATGACAAAAGGCAATGCAGGCAACACACAGGAAGCACAAGGAACAGTTGTAGAAGGGGGAGGGGGCGGGTAGAGGTAACGGAAAGCGGGAAGCAACTAACCGGCTGTGAATACACTTGCTGAGGGTCATATATCGATGGATGGATGAAATGTAACAGCGAAAGTTGATTTTAGTAGCAGAACGTTTTTTTCCATTTTATAAGAGTTAATAATATCTTGACTATTATATTATATAAATATGAATATTATTTATTATAAATAAATCGATATAAAATATAAATCGATATAAATTAAATATATATTATATAGATTAAAAAATATATATTAAAAAAAAAATAGTGAAAATATATATATAATATATATAAATATATTATTAAAAAAATATATTAAATGGCAATATAAAGTTTCCTAAATAACGTTTTTCTTTTATTTCACATTTAGCAGAAATCTATACTAAAATAATTTCAATAATTAAATTAATATGGGCTTTATAGACGTTATTTTTGGTATATTTTTAGTCTTGGTTGCACATATTTCATATATACATTTCATATATACCTATAGTCCCTTTGGTAACCACTAGTAATAATTTGTGTATTTAAACTTTTTTTTAAAGATCTTCACTCTTTCAAGTCGTTCACATCTACATCTATACCATATTTCAAATCTTTTAAAGAAATTTGTTCACTCTCTAGAGTTGCTCACAATTCGCTCAGAGTATTCACTTGTCGTTGCGCTCTGGAAACAAATGTAACTGAAATTTCTCATTTTTCTTTGTTGGCATTGCATGCATGAAAAGGAAAGGGGCAAGAAAATGCACGCAATTTATGCAGTGCATGAAAAATGAAAACTTGCACGCATGCAAAACACAAACAAGTAGCATAAGTTATGTTCGAGTCAGAGGGCGAGGGCGGAGACCCTGTTGATAATGTAAAGTTATGCAGCTATAGGTGCACGCATACCAACGCACACTTGGCTACGGTAGCAGGAGGTGGCGCAGGAGTAGCAGCAGCAGCAGGTAGCTACCTGAAGCGAGCTCAAAGATTCGAAAGCAGCTGAAAACTTTTGCAGCACATTCTGCTCGTATTATTGAGCTATGCTCTTACCCGGACAC